AAATGTTTTCTCGAACAGTCGAGTTGTAAACCTTCATGTTTATGTTCAGCTTCTGTAAAATATTAGAGAAGGGGAATTTATACTAGTTTGTACGTTTTTAGAAACAAATATTTAAGAAGTCACTATCAAGGCACAATTATCTGAATACAACTGATGAAAACTTCCCTTTGTTGTTTTCAGTTCGAACCTTAGCCACTCCCCCCACACCCACAACCCTGCGCCCCCACCAGATGTGATTAAAACCGACGTGTCCGAGTAAATGACTGCTTCTGACCTGCCGCCATCATGAAGTTCTCTCTTCAACCTCTGAAGTTCCTCTGATGGCTTTGCTCCTCTACTCCATGGATACTCTGCAAAGCCCCTCACCCCACTGAAAGGGCAAACCCCAGGCGTCCCACCCCTGTCTGCAGCATTCCTCCACCAGTCTTCCCATTTGCTCTTTCCAGAGCATGGTTCAGGTCAAGCATTATGGCTTGTTTAGACAACCGGCACAAAATCCTGTCTTCAGGGTCTGCTTCACTGGGCTGCAGCGTGTTGGAGACTAGTTGGTGACTCAAAAGGAAAATGTTTGTATTTTCCTGCAGTTTCAGCTAATTCTGAGGGTTTGTGACCAGAGCTCTGTCTTCTTCTTTCAGCATTTCCATTTTCAGGGGTCACCACAGCGAGTCATCCTTCTCCATCTCACTCTGTCCTCACTCCATCTACCTCCGTGTCCTCTCTAACTGCATCTTCTCTTTGGTCTTCCTCTTTGTCTTTTTCCTGGCAGCTGCATTTCTAACATCCTTCTACCAATATACCCACTGTCTCTCCTCTGGACATGTCCAAACCATCTCAGTCTGGCCTCTTTAACTCTATCTCCCAGTTGTTCAACCTCCGATTATCTCATTCCTAATCTTGTCCATCCTTGTCACTCCTAAGAAGAACCTCAACATCTTCATTTCAGCCACTTCCAGTTCTTTCTCCTGTGTTTTTGTGAATGCCACTGTCTCCAGACCATACAGCACAGCTGGTCTCACCACTGTCTTGTAAATTTTTCCTTTAGAGGCCCTGCAAAGCGACCAGAGCTCTGTGTCGGACCCAAAACTGAAGATATTAACTTGTAGAACTCCACCACAGTAAATTTTAGCGCTATTCTCATCATCTGCTCTTTATACATCCTTACCATGAACGTAAAGTCAGCGTTCACGGCCTACACTAGCTCACTTTCCACCATTTTGTGTGGCGCACTTCAGCTGACAGCCATATTGTCCTTTGACACATTAATTACAGCACAAGTACCATTGAATACTGCATGCTCCACTGCGCTTTAATGTTTGCCAAGTGTGCCAATAGATAAAACTACAGATGATTTTTAAAAAAGCTATAAAGATTGTATGGGTGCTCAAAGTAGGGCAAGATATAAGCAGTGTCTCTCGGTTGGAGGGAATGACCCTTACGAGCTTGAAGAAGGAGTTGTCTACTGAAGTGAAAATCGTATACCTAATTGATTCAGGGCTTCTGCTTAAATTGTGGGATGTGAGTATGTGGGAAGCAAATTTCACCAACTGTATGCTAAATGTAGAAGTGTTGCTAAAGACCATTCTAAAGCTGGGAAATGAGAGCGTTGGTAATAAAGATGTGGACCTCTAAGCTGTGTAAAAAATGACGCTGCACTGGAAAAAGTAAGGACTGCAGAAGGTCGTGCATTTCTCTTTTTTGACCCACTTTGCTCAACAGAACTTGTTAAACTCACTGTGTTGAATTAAGATTTAAAGGAGTTACACCTCAGATGACAGGGAGCTATAGCGAAACAATAGTATTTTTCTGTAATGATCAAGAACAAGCAACATGAACCCATTGTCCTGTCCTGCTTCTGCACTTTCCTACAAAAAGGTTTTAAAAAAAAATTGAACAAAGTCAGCTGGGCATCATCTTTAACCATCTGTGTGTTGCACCTTTGGGTAACTTCACACTCTCTGAAGCGATTAAGTGCAGCTTTTCTTCTCTGCCTCTTTTTGTTCTTTGGACAACACTTCTCCTTTAAGGATCTACTTCTTCTGACCTCTGGGAGGCAACAGGCCCACGTTCTGGCTCAGTTGGGCAACACGACACGCTACAACCACCGACAAAAATAGTCCAGAAGGGTTAACGCCAACTCGCACTGTAGCTGCTCAACAAGTCACATCTGCAACGCACGTGACAACCCAGAGAGGCACGTTTCTTTCACATCATGTAAAAAGTAAAGAATGCTGCAAGGTTGTTTCTTCTTCTTCTGGCTGAAGGCAAAGAAAAATGTGCAAGGCACTTTTCTTGCTGTAGGATCGTAATGTGTAGGAGGAAAAGCCCATGTGAGGGTGGGTTTAGCAAGAGTTTTGGTGCACTTATCTGAAGGTCAGCTCCTCCTGCAGGAGTCTGACCAACAACCTGCTGCTGTTGTGAATTGTGAAGGTGACACAAAGTCGAGCTGTTTACTGTGTTCTGCTGAGCTCATCGCTGTACGTGAAACACAAAGGCACAGAAAAGTACTCTGGTTATCTTGTGTGCATAATAAAACAAGGGTTAAATGTGTGTTTTTTTTGTGATTAAACTGCTGATTCTGATAACAAACTTGATTAGTACAGAACACCACAGGACATCACTCCTGCCAGCAGCCATTAGGCTCTTCAACAAACAAGAACAACCCAGAATCTCCATTTGCTTATTTATTCATCCGCTCATCTTCACTGTATTTAGAAAAATGATGGAGCATTTGTCGTTACAGCTTGTGTTGTATGTCATTTTTCATTTTTTTTATTCATGTCAAATGTCACTGCAGCCGCTGCAACAACAATTCCCTGTAAGATTAATAAAGTCCTTGTCCTTTCCTGTTATGATATAAATAACAAAACTCAAATGGTTCGGGTTTATCCAGTGCTCCTCCAGTTCTTCTGTGCTGAGATCAGCAGAAAAACTTATTGCGTCCCAAGGCTGGAAGACAGTGAAACAAAAGGGTTGTAAAAAGCGAACGCTCATGGAAAGACTATAAAAATGCAGTTTCACAAATTTGCAAACTTTTAGCTCTTATGATTATTATCAAACCTGGAAACAAGAAACAGGACCCTAAAGGAAACACTTTAATCTGGATAACAAAACTTTTTTTAATGAAACTAGCATTCCTTGAATGAATGCACATCTCCTGCTGCATTGTACGCCTAAGTTTTAAACAAAACTCCTTTGTGAACTTTTATCACTCAAAGTGTGTGATGGGGACGACACTCAACTACTACCACACCCAATTTTAGCTCAATAGCTGTAAAAATGATCATGTTATTGTCATAGATATGTTGGCTAAAGCCTATTAGCTGTGGCCAAAGTGAATCAGAGTGTAGATTGATTTAATTAGCTTACCATACTTTTTGATGTATAAGTCACACCTTTTTGCATAAATTTGCAAGTCTTGCAACTTATACACTGAAAAGACTAATGTATGTTTTTGTCCCCGTATTTATAACCCAATTTTTTGGCTGAGAATTGACAATTTCATTCATTCTGGCATGGAAATATTAAACACTACCATTTTCAGCTGCTAGAGGGACCTCGACTTATATGGCAAGCTAAGTGTCTCATTAATAGGTAAAAGTGGTTATTAAAGAGACACTTGGCTTGCCATACAAAGCCACCTTCATCTTGCTTCAAAACTCCTGGAGCAAACATCAAATCAGCTGCATTTCCCCGCGCCGCCCAGGTGAAATGCAGCTGATTTGACCATTAAAGTGCATTTATTAAGGAAAATTACAACTGAGACACACCTTTATTATACTGTCGAGCAGACAAATAATTAATCTTGTTAAATTCTTGTTAAAGTCCTCCTGTGCACGCTCCCGCGGCCGCCATTTGGCAGCCGATCGATTTTAGGCACAACGCCGGCCCACATTTCCAGGTGGTCAGCGGTGACGCATAATAGATGCAACTTATACGGCGGAGTGACTTATTTATGTTTTTTTCCACTTTATTAGACATATTTGGATTGATGCAACTTATATGGCAACTTCTACAGTAATTAAAATCCATCCAGTGGTACATGAGATAGTTTTCTAACAATAAACACAGATGTGGCAGTGGGTCATAATAAAATGCTAAACATTTGCTCAAGACACACACAAACATCAGACTTTTAAACCCAACCGGACAAAAACAAAGACATTTTCAGCCATATCTCAGTAAATAATAGTAGTGTTTGCTTTTAAGCACTGAATAATTTAAATGTTTTGCATCATCTGTAGTGGGATTTTTGTGAAACCATGTTTCATATTAAACACATCAGAAGAAAATTACTGCGTACATTAACACACCAAAACGCACATGGACATATTTAGGTGGTTTAAACATGCGGGGAGGCCGTAGAGCAGGACGCTCCGGTGAACATTTGAAACAATCCAACAGTATGTGGAGCCGCCGAGTGACAAGACGACAGGATGAAAGGGACACGAGGCGACGGCAGCAGGAGTCCCACTGACAACATCTGCACATCACGACAAGCACCAAACCTCCACTGTGTAAAACACACACACTCAGGGAAGGACTAAACATCGCAGGCGTGAAATGATGCTGGATTCTGTTCAGAGGCCAATGAATATTTCATAAAGCAGGGATGGGCAGATTATTCCCAATGTATCAATACCTGATGGTGTCCTTTTGAGCATCAAACAAAACGCGTCGATGCTCAGAAGTTATTTCTCAATTTTACTTTGCAAGTTTGACGCTTCCAATTATAGCTGCCCCAATAAATCTTTACAGTAATCTCTAAACTCCTACAGTAATACAAAACTACTTTTACACTTGCCATATTTTCCTGTTTTAAAATGAGTAAATTTATCAGCAATAAATCATGAGTAAGCAACTTTTCTTTTGGCATTAAGCGAACAATTTGTTGTTGAGGATTAGCTGCACTGATTAGATCGTTTCAGAGAAAACTCTGACGTGTGGCATCACCCATCCCTGCCATGCAGAGCCACAACACGGAGACGACGGTGCGTTTGTACCTCTGACGGTGTAGCGGATACATTTTACAGCTTGCAGACAACTCCTCTGCAGCAGAACCAGAAAGAAGAAGAGGTCCAGGTTAGAAAGCAAAGAACAAACACAAGTTCTTTCTTCTCTGTTGAGCCTAAAGTTTTCCACAGAAAGGAGTTCAACAAAGCATATTTGAAGTGGCGTGAGTTGTATTTAGGTCAGCTGTGCTTAAGAAATATAAAAAAAAAAGTTAAGTAAAAAATCTATCATAACTTTGCTTTGATGTGCTCAGAATAAAAATTAAAAAAAACAACTGAAAAACTAAAAATTCAATAAACCCAAAAACTGTAGCTTCTCTTGAAACTTGAACTTCCACAGAACAGACTCGTTAGCTGTAACTGATCACAGATCTCCGGTTCAGGCATGAGAAAGAAAAGGTTTTCTGCAATGATGCGTTCAGGCGCTCCTCTTTAACTCGTAATATTGGACGACCTTATCCTTGGACCAGGTTATAAATGGTTGTTTGAGTCGAATCAGACTAAAACTAGGCCACGGTGTCCGCTCCGTCTCTCCATCAATTCGCAGCAGCACTTTGGCCCTGCAGAGAACCGTTTAACAGCGTGAGTGGCAGACACTCGTTCTGTTTAGGACTGTGGAGTAGCTCCAAATGAAGCTTTTTTCTCTTTTGGTGAGGTGAATAGATGTCTCAAACAGAAGTCAGTTAGATTACTCACATCCACTGAGCCAGTCACAGTTTAGTTTTTTTTGTGTGTTGAAGTTGTGCTGCACAGACTGGGTTTTATTTGATCCCTTGATGTCTGAACTTGGTGTTTCCCAGAATTCTCTCTTTGCTTTATTTTCCCTGATGAGGTTTGTTAAAAAAAAAAGAACACGACAAAGAAGTAAATATTAAAAGTCAGAGTGTCAGAGTTCTGAACTCGTGAAATCCTTCCTGGCATGCCCCAACAAGGCCAGAACTAGAAAGGTCAGAGGTCAATTCACGTTCAAATAGGCTGCCACTGTAAATGAAGAGGTGTTGCAAAAACAGTAAAAAATGAGCATGGTTTATTTAAATTTACTACTTATATTTATGGAAACTGTTCGAGCACTATTTCTTGAAATATATCAGCCATGGAACCAGTTTAAGGGAGCTGCCATGTTGTATTTTTTGGACCATAATCCCACTGGGAATGAGTTTCACCTGCTCCCCTACACATAACCAAGGTGGTTACATCATAATCTTTCTTATAAGCATGTAATGACTAATCGCAGCTCGATGAGTGCACTTTAAAAATACGAAGTGTTTTGTTTTTTATTTATTAAAGGCAAAGTCCCGTCCGTGAACACGGAAGGTGTAGGACTTGCACCGGGGCCATCCTGTGGAGATGCTCTTCCTCTTCTGGCTTCAGCCTCTGGAATCCCACTTGGCTTCCAGCTTTAATACATGCCTGGGCACAATAAAGAGCTGCTGTGTTGTCTTTTATTGACCTTTGACCCCTGTTATCTCTAACATGTTGAATCAATGCACCCTTTTAGTTCTTGTGTGGCTCTGCTTTAACATTCTGATACGTGCTCAATAATCCAGGTAGAAAAGCCTAACAAAGTTAAGTCAGGTCCGCTGGATAGTTTCTTTGTGTTGAAACTTTTCGTCCTTCATCCAAAGGACTTCATCAGTCCGAGGAGACACAACATGCTCAGTCCCATAAGTAGCACACTCACATAGTGGGTCAACCAGTTTGATGGTGATAAGATGTTTTTTGCAGTCCGCCCTCTTCCCCGTCGACTCATCTGAGGCAGCCATGGACAAAGTGGTTCAAAACGTCAAAGTTCATGCTCAATAATCCAGGTAGAAAATCCAACAAAGTTAAGTCAGGTCCTCTGGATGGTTTCTTTGTGTTGAAATGTTTTCTTTTATCCAAAAGACAATAAACTCAGTCTTATAAATAGCACCTTCTCACAGTGGATCAACCAGTTTGTTGTTGACATCCAGAACTAGCTGTTCACATGATAAAGGACCATTAGCCTAACAATTGATTGTTAGTGCCCTGATGGTCACTTGCTATTCGCAGAGGGCTGAGTGATACTGGCAAAAATAGCATTGAAAAGGGGGACAGTCGGACACAAAGGCCTCCGCCCCATTTAACAATGGACAGGTTCTTTTGACAAAGATGGCTTCCTTCACTTGTGAAAAGAACACATTTATTTTTCTTTGTGCATATTGAGCATCCCAGTATATTGAGACTTGAACAAACTAAAACAGAAACTGCAGAAATCTCATGACCACTGTTCAGTCATTTTAGTGCCAAACCGTCCCCGAGGCTGTAATGTGAGGGGAGTTCAGGTGAGTTCCATGTTTTTATGTGTATAATTTTAAACACATAAAACACAGAGAGTTAGAGAACAGAGTAGGACCCCCTGCCCACCAATCAGTGGTCCAGACAGCTGATCCAAAAGACTCACAGCAGACCATTTATCGGTAAGGTGATTCACTGGCATCTGGTTGTGCAATTCATCAGTATAAACATCACATGTTTAACAAGGCACTGGCTACCAGTGTCTGCCAAAATCTAATTAAGTGACAGTAAATTAAATCAGAATTCATGCAGTTCTGGTTAGAGCTGACCTCGACCTTCTTGCAGGTCACAACTGTTTTTAAGGACATGGGACACTGTGAGGAAAGTGGGTCAGGCTGGGCATATATAGACCCCTCTGTGATCTGGGATGTCTATTAGCATGTAAACAAAGAAAACAGTAGGATCACGTGCGCTTCAAATAAAAGCGAGAAGAAACATAAAGTTCAATTTTAAAACCTTTATATTAAATATATATTCTGGTCTGAGTAAAAAACTCTTCCAGTCAGCAGAGAAATCATCTCAGATGTCTAACTTACCCCATGCTCCGACGATCTGATGCTGATTTTTAAGGACTAATTCCACTCAGGAACTCTTCCTGCTCTTTCGTCTTCTCTCTCCAAAATACTGGTTTTCTTCCTGAAATCCGTGTCTCGCGTTACATTTCTGAAGAAAAAAAAGGGGGAAAATCACTTCCGACTCCAGATTCCCCCCTCGTCTCCCCTCCAGCAGCAGTACTTCTCTCCACACACTAAAGTCAGTTGTACTCCAGGCTGCCTGCCGTCCTTTGTGTATGCAGGATTCCACCGATCCGCCGTCTCCTGTGCGTAATTACGCACCGCGAAACGTTTGGCTCGGCTCTGCGAGCCGGACACACGGAGGAATGTCGATGAAAGTCGGGCAGCAAGCTGCTCCTGCCTCAAAGCACCACAACTTGTGTGCTCCCCTCCCGCCTGTGTGCCAGATCACACTGGGATCCCATTCAAAGAACCTCAGAGAGGCAGGGGGGCGGAGGCCTCTCCCGCGCCATCTGATGGACACAATGTGCACTGCCAAACAGACCTTCCTCTTGACTAAAATGACGAAATGAAAAATGATCCGGGCCAGTGGTCCATCTAATTATACAAAGACAGTCTTCAGGGGAGGGGGGGGGGGGGGGGGTTACATCAGCTTCAAGCTTTTCAAACATGAACAAGTTAACAGTTTTTATACTAAAGATATGCAACTAGTAAAAAACATACTCTCTGTTAGTCTAAAAAAGTTAAATCTGGTCCTCTGGACATTCAAAAAAAAAAAAAAAAACAAAGCAAAACAACAAAAAATGTAGAAACGTTTCGTCTCTCGTCCGAGAGACTTCTTCAGTCTGAGGTGCTGTATTCAGCTCAGTCTCTTAAATAGCACCTTCTCAGGGGGGATCAACCAGTTTTGCTGCTGACAACCAAAACCAGCTGATCACATGCTCAAGAAGGACCATCAGCCTAACAATGGATCATTAGCACACTGATGGCTGTTTACTGTTCACAGAGGGCTGAGTGATACTAGCAATCACAGCATTGTAAGAGGGGGACAGTTGAACACGTAGGCCTCCACCCCTGTTTAATGATGGACGATTTCTTTTCACAAAGATGGCGTCCTTTACTCCTCTCTCAAACCATCGTTCCTCTCTGTCCAGGATGTGAACATCTTCATCCCTGAAAGAGTGACCACTGGCCTGGAGATGAGTGTAGACCGCAGAGTCCTGGCCTGATGATGTTGATCTTCTGTGCTGGTCCATCCTTTTGGCCAGTGGCTGTTTAGTTTCCCCGATGTAAGACTGATCACAGCCCTCCTGACACTGAACAGCATACACAACATTGCTCTGTTTGTGCCGGGGGACTGGATCTTTGGGATGAACCAGTCTTTGCCGTAATGTATTTTGGGGTTTAAAAGCCACTGGGACGTTATGTTTAGACTTCAAGTGAGTAAATATTTTTTAATAAATTGTTGTTATGTTATCAAATGTCATGCTGTGATCAAAATCACACACAAATAAAATAAATATTTCTTCTTTTGGATTTTCCCTTTTCAGGGGTCGCCACAGCGAGTCATCCTCCTCCATCTGTCCTCTGCATCCTCTGTCCTCACTCCAACTACCTCCATGTCCTCTTCAACTGCATCCGTATGTCTCCTCTTTGTATTTTTCCTGGCAGCTGCATTTCTAACATCCTTCTACAAATATACCCACTGTCCCTCCTCTGGACATGTCCAAACCATCTCAGTCTGGCCTCTCCAACTTTATCTCCCAGTTGTTCAACATGTGCTGTACATTCACAAATGAAATAAATACACAGAATGAAAATATTCCAGTTCATGTTCAAGTTGTGTTTATTTGTCATATACAAGGTTAACACAAGGTCAACAGTACAATGAAATGCTCAGGATGAGAAGAACCAATTTGACTCGCTAAAAGAAAAAATAAACCAAAAAACAAACAAACAAGAAATACTACAAGCATGCAATAAGAGTACAAAAATTAAGTACCAAAACGTGAAAAAGTAATTATAATATTTACAACGTCCTAAAGAGAGTAAACAACAACATGGTAGAATATAACGGTTCAGCAGGATGAATTTGAATGAATAAGTATTAAGGTAGTAATGTAAGCAAAAATGTACATTACATATATATATATATATATATATATATATATATATATATATATAT